TTATGGTCTCAATCTCTAGTTTTAGTCTTCTTCCATACATCACGATGTTCATTTAGTAAATGATGGTCCCATTTACAGTAAAATAGACAAACTGTCAAACTAGGCAGTTTTAGGCATTCTCTATTCCACCACCTGGCCTGTGCCTGATGGTAATTATAGGGATGCCATGGATAAACCAAGCTTGAAACTCACAGCCATATCTGTATCATATTGGTAACGCCATATATATATCATCCAACATGTACCAATATTAAAACTAATTTTTTTCTGGTATATAATGCAAAAAGGCAGTAGTAGTAGTAGTGTTTACAGTACTTAAGTTTAGCTATTTATTTTATTTTAATTTATTCATTATTTTCTCAGTGTTTATTTCTAAATAGGTTGACAATGTAGCCTATATGTTAAATTATTTAACATTTTAAAGTAGGTCATGATTTTGGCTACCAACAATTAAATTAACGTGATCGTGACAATACTACTGTTTAAAATGCGTGCTCAGATAGTAAAAAATGCTGCAGTAACTGCTAAACTAACAGCCAGCCACCACAGCTGATCCAGATGTTCTATGCCAAACAATGATAATGATGGTTATCAGCTCACCCTGCAGATTTCATTAATTATAATATTCCCCACTGTGGTTGGAGGTGACTGTATGGTAATGGCCATATGGTGGCTGGTGCCAAGTCCAGAATCCACACATGATGGAGCAACCTGGAGTCTGACTGCATCTAATGTATCTTTGGATACAAGATTTGTTGTGGTCATCTTTTCTCTGCTCACTCCCACTTTATCTAATACTGCCAGTTAATCAGTGGCCTTCCACTTTATATTCCACGCTGTCAAAACCAAAGGTTCAACCTATTCAATTATCTATTTTTGCACAGTGATCCTCTCTTTAACTTACACTAGTTTTGCTCAAGCACTCGTAGCTCTCTCCCACAGTTGTTTACATACTATTCAGTTCTGTTAGCTACAGTGCTTCAGCTTAGCAGTTAGTGATGGCTCCTCTCTTGCACTCTGTAGCACGGTGTCAAATGCTAAGCTGCCCTGCTCTCCTTTGTCTGGCAGCCATGCATGAAATAGCTGAACAGCCAGAAAACCACAACCCTTCAGTCCCTCCATCTCTCATACCATGCAGATGGTCATCAACATGCTCAGATCTGTTCGTCTGAGCCATACTGACCTTATGCATGCGCTGTGAAGAGAGTGCACAGATACGTGTGTGTGTGTGTGTGTGTGCTTGAGGACTAGTAAAATGAGGTATCAGAGTTGAATTTCTCCTGTCAAGCACTGTTGTGTGAAGTCACCCTTTTGAGAAGCAGAAAAGAAATACTTGACCTTTGAAAAGTATGAGTAGAGGGATTCTCTTCTGCATTCAGACCAAATGTGAGGTTAGCTGTGTATGACCCCACCTTGGGGTTTCGATCTTTTTGAGAATACTTAAATTCTCCATCTGAAAAAGCAAGCAGGGACTCTTTTGCCTATTGCAGGAATCAAAATGTCAGTGTGCTGGGTTAGACCTTTCTTGCTGTTGTTTTAACCTGCTGAGTCATTTTAGCTGATGTCCTGGTTTGTTTTTTGACAGAAGCAGTTTTGCATTTAAAAAGGACCTGACTGTAACCCCTCAGTGCAGGTACATGCACTAAGCCATCCTTCTTCTGGTTAGACTAATGTATTATCGATGGGCGCTGAGTCAAGAGAGTGCTGTGTATCAGTACAGTGCTGCTTGACCTTAGTCTGCCCTTTAGCACTATTGACCATGCCTTTCTGGTTGATACATTTCTAACAGTGGGGCGGTATTTCTGCCCTGGAGTGGTTCTATTATTCTCTCATTTGTCAAATACGTTGATTTTTCTGTGTCAGTTGATGAGTTTATTTCAC